TCTTTGTATTTAGGAGCTTGTTTTGAGAGTGAGAAGAGGGGCAGTAGGAGTCGGCAGAAGAGCCCAGACGAGGGTTTACGGGAGCTGGGGGGACGTTATGCGAACACAGCGAGGTCATCACGGGAGCAGGAGCCACGCTTTGTCCGCGGCTGCATCCCAGTGCCTGGGATGCTGGGCGCGTGGACGGTGCCCGCCGGTGTCTATTGTGATCATTATTGTGGGCTTTGTGTGACCTTTTCTCTGACCGTGTGGAGTTCCCTGTCACATTCGGAGATCACAAGATGGTGCCTGAAACTCCTCCCTTGAACCTATTTTGACTATTTTTGTTTCCTTGCGGGAGAGCAAGAGGCAAAGCATTCTTGAAGGGTCCTTCCCTCATAGACCAGGTTTCAACACAGACACCCCCAAGCCCCTTCCAGCCTGACCCCTGCTGTCGCTTGAGAGGAATCGGACTCCAGCACCACGGGTCCTGGAGGACGTGGCCAGTCGCCCTGCAGCAAATCACCACCCTTACTGGCAGGACTCCTGGAAACCCTGGGTTCCCCAGTCAGGGCTGCCTCTCCGCTTGCCCCGAAAATGGTTCCCTCCGCCAGCGTTAGTTCTCTCCTGAAACACAGGTCAGGACACGTCATGCTCTTTTTCCGAAAGTTTGATTGGCACGTACACCGCTGCGTGTGGAGCAGACTTACAGTCCTTGACTCAGCGGTCCAGGTCCTCCATCCGTGGTCCCCAAACTTGCCAGCCTCCTCTTCTGTGCAGCTGTCCTGCAGTAGAGCCTCTCCCACCCCCCAGGACGGTGGGTGACTTTGGACCCCTCGACTCTGTGTCTGCCCCGCCTCCGTCTGCTTTGACTCCCCCCAGGCACCACACATCCATCCGAATCCCGAATCCTCCATCCCCTCGTTAGTCCCCTGCATCTGGGGACGTTTCTGTCCCCTCTCCTGCCTTGTCCTCTTGTTTTCAGGTTGTCTCTTCCAGCTCCTTGAGAGGAGGGACTCACACATTGCTTCCCTGTCGTGTCCCCCGAGTGCCAGTGTCCCTGGGCTCTCCTGGGCTTGTAGAGGCACGTCCCCAGGCTCCGTCCCCGTCATCACATGGCCGTCTCCCCTCTGGGTCTGTGACAGGTTTCCCTCCTCCTGTGTATATACCAGTCACTGGACTAGGACCCGTCCTAACCTGGTGTGGTCTCAGATCACACTTGCAGAGACCCCGTTTCCAACCGAGGTCATACTCAGAGGTGCCAGGAATTAGGAACTGATTATATCTTCTGGGGGAGCACACTTCAACCACGACACATGATTATGTCTATTATATCTACTTTAGAGACAGTTTGTTTTCTGTGCTTAGAATCATCTGAACCGTTGCTTATCACCTTTCAGATACGTAATTGAGACTTTGGCCACTCGCTTCCCACTCTTAATGAGTAGTTCTAGAAGTAAGACCTGGTTTTACCTCTGACCAGGCAAATCTTAGCATCGTGGAATTTTCAGACTGGGTAGGGTCCATGTGAGTCCTTTCGTTTAAATTTTGCAGTAGGAAAAGTTAGACCAGTCACCTTATTTTCTTGTGCCTCAGGTCATACAGCTGTAACCATAAAGTTGACAAATACTGTGTCCCCCTGTGCCAGGGACAACGGTCTTACTTTGCTTTCAACAAAAGCAGAGAAATGTGGCGTTTCTGATTAGAATCAATGTCTTTAAAATACTAGCCAGAAAGAATATGAAAATGAATATACGTATGTATATGCATGACTGGGGCACTGTGCTGTACACCAGAAATGGACACATTGTAACTGCCTGTACTTCGATTAAGAAAAAAAATACTAGTCAGATATTTTAAGGCAAAAGCCCAGGGCTAGTTTTTCGCCCTCTCTGAGTCAGGCAGAAAGGAGCCGTGGTAGGTGCTCAGGGAAGCTCGAGGGTGACCAGTGCTTGGGTGTTGAAGGGAAGGTGAATGTGAAGGGCGCATGCGTGCCCGTGGCTGCAGGTAACTCAGGGACGTGGGGAAAGAGCTGATGGAGAACGGGAGACACGCACAGATACCTCCCATGACCTTCCCCGCGGGCCCAGGGATGGAGCCCATGGGGGACGGAGCTGAGTGCGCTCCCAGGCCCGCCCCTCCCAGAGCACTGGTTTAATCTCCTGTGTTTCCGTCCCAAGGTGCTCGCCTGTAATCCCCCTACCAGTCGTGGGGAGTGTGTCAGAATTACAGCTGGGTGTTCAGATTCACATGCAAGAAGGAGAACAGAGTTTTCCTTACATTTTAGAAACTGCTTTGGAAGGTATTTTGATCACAAAGTGGACAGTCTGACATCCATCCTTTCCTCTTCTCATATCTTTTATTTTCACCTTTTCACCTTCCTGCTTTTTAAGTTGGAAAATAACATGAAACATTTAGTAAGATGTCGTTATTAAATGTTAGCTCTTCCAGACAGGCTAGCCTCAGTTCGATTGATAGCTGAGTCAGGGTCACCCCTCAAAAGTAAGGACTGAGCAGCTTGCTTGGTAAATTACAGTGCTGTTTTGGCAAAATGTAATTGTTGGGCAACAAGAAAACAGAGAGCAATGAAATCTTTGTTGATGTTTTTCTCTTTTTCTTTCTTTCTTTTTAAAATGGGTGTGCTGGGGGTTGAACCCAGGACCTCGTGCATGCTAAGCATGTGCTCTACCCCTGAGCTGCACCTGTCCGTCCCCAGGTTTTTTCACTCTTCATGGCTTCAGCCTGTGCGCCCAGTTTACATCGTTGCGGAGGGTGTTTTAATGACCTGGTGTAGTTCTAAAGTGTCGGGGTTTGGGGCACAGCCGTCAGGGCTTTTTTGGTTGGAAGTGACGGGAAGCTCGCTGTGGGAACCCTGCTCCCCGGGAACAGCTGGCTGCCCCCTCACCTCTGCGTCCCTCCCCACGACCCCATTCTCAGGCGGGCTCTCAGCCCACGATGGCCAAAACGGGCCCCAGAAGCTCAGGGCAGCCCTTAGATCCACGCAGCCAGGGTGGGGCGGTGTGGAGCAGCCTGGCCTGGAACACAGGCGGTCTGGACTGAAAGAAAGAGGAAAACGCTTCTGAAACAAACTCACAGTGTTGTGTCCAGATTGGGAGGCAGGGGTGCGGGCAGCATGGCCCGGCGCACAGGTTGCGAGAAGACAGTGCAGCCAGCGCCGTGTGTTTTCTGGTGCTAGGATTTGAGAAAACAAATCTGCTCCCATAAAAGAGCGTGTTCTGTGGTGACCACCACCGCCTGAAAATGCCTGAAAAAGGGAAGGACCAACGACGTGTAGTTTGAGATTGGGGACCAGATTTTTTTTAAAAAATGGTAATAGTAACAATTCTAAAAACTTTAAGGAATTACCATTTTGGAGCCCTTACCTGTGTGAAGCCCTGTTTTATGTGTTTCACGTAATTCCTCCAGCAGCTTTGTGAAGTGGGGGTTACGACCCTCATTGTGCTGGTGAAGAAATGGAATCTGGGAGAAGTGGGGTTTGAATCCACGTCTCTGACTTCACTCTGTTAAGCTGTCTCTTACTTTAAAGTGTGCCTTTGTCTGTCTGCCTGTCTGTCTGTCACCTAACTGTCCATCTGTCGTCCCTCCTCTTCCAGTGTTCTCAGCACTCAGGACCCTTTGTCTTGGGGCCACCTGTGGGGCCTACACTGACCCGAGTCAGCTCTGCCCCAGGCACACCTGCCCCTTCCTCCCCCGCTGTGCCTGTCACTCTGGCCTTCAATTAAAGGGCCTGGACTCACAATAAATTCTGTTTGTCCTTCCTGCTTCTCATCTTAATCTATCCAGCCGTGTCTTCCTCAGAGCAGCAGATTGAATTTTTTTAAAGTGTAGACCCAGGTTTACCCACCTGTTGACCTTGGCTTCTCTTTGCCCTCCGGGGTGCCCGTCCGCCTGCCCCTCCAGCCGACTCCCTCTCTCCACCGTTTTTGCTTTCTCTCCTGGGCCTGTCCTTCCTTCTCTTACCCTGATCCTCCCTCTTCCCGTTGTGCTCTTCATTCTCACACTCCTTAACCTCTGCTTCTTCAAGTCTGTGGGAAATGCCATGTCCTTAAATCCTTAGGGACCTCCCTGCCCTCTCCCACCCCTGCAGTCTGAAAACATGAGAGTCTCATCACATCCTGTCTTTTTTGCACTTAGGACAGTCTGTAGTTATTCATGGATTCTTGGTGCTTAGCCCAGTGTCCCCACTAGAGCATGTCCTCCTGAGAGCTGGGACCAGACTTCCAGCATCCAGCGCGGTGACCGGGACATCACCGACTCTCAGATCTGTGCCGGCCGGGTCGGCAGGCTAGTGACCGAGGATGCCCAGAGCAGTGCGCTTCAGATGATTGGCTGTCTCAGCTGTCACGTTCTGATTTCACTTACCACTCTGACACGAAGCTGGGTGGAGAGCAGCTGTGTCCTGGTGGCTTTTGGTTTGCTCGGGTGCAAGCTGTGCCTCCTTTAGTGCTGATGCTTATGGTGAGCTGTGCAGATGTGCACAAAACCCTGTGTCAGAGCCACGCTGGCAGGACCTGCTAAGTTTCAGGATATGTAATTGCTCGCAGTTTGGCCTGAGCCTAGGTGGCTGGGAGTGGAGGACTGAGGGCCGTCCTGGCGGGCTCCAGATTCCCTGCCACTGTGCAGAGGCATGGACACTCCAGACCTCGGGTGGGCCTCTCTTGGAACCCAGGCCCCCCAGGCTCAGCTTTCCACATGCCTCTGCCCTCCTGCCCGCCGTATTTGCCCAGAGTTGCTTTGGAAGGAGACGCTTTCTCTCCAGGGATGTGCTGTTTGAGCAGTCTTCCCAGCCTGTGTCATGGGCACTGGGAGCATTTGGATGGTCCTTTGGGGTCTACACCCAGGACCGTGTGCCCCCAGTCGGAAGGGATGGTGCCCACTGTGCACGGTGGCTTTCCCGGCACCCGGGCAACCGGGCCAGGAGACTTCCTCCCTGTCTCTCTCCATGGTCCTGCCAGGTGTTGCAGCTGACATGACCTCTTTCTCTTCTTGTTAATCCATAGCTGGTCCTGTTCTGAGTTCGACCTGAATGAGATTCGCCTGATCGTTTACCAGGACTGCGAAAGGAGGGGCAGGCAAGTCTTGTTCGATTCCAAAGCTGTTCAAAAGATCGAAGAGGCAGCAGCTCAGGTATGAAATGTGGGTTTGCTTTCATCGTTTTTGTTCATGCCGTGAGCGCCCTCGCTGAGCAGCCATGTGTTAATCCATCGTCCTCTCTTTGGGCTGTATCGTGCAGCACCATTAATGGTTCAGAAGAAACCCAGGCGGAGCCGCCACCCCGCCCACCACGTTTGTGTTCTCACTAATACACACAGCCGAGACTGAGCAGGTGATGGTGACAGATGTAAGCAGTGTAAGTAGGTATTGCTAGAAGTGAATTTGCCAGCGAGTCACAGTCCAATAGGATTTTGGCGCCAAATACGTGCTGTGTGTAACGGGAAAAGTGAGGACTGTAAAATTCATGGAATGTTAGCCTGAAGGGAAGGTACAGGTCATCCTGTCTGGCATTTCTCATAGTGAGAGGTGTTACACAGCACTGGATTAAACAAGTAAACAGCTCTCCTCGCTACAGGGCTTCAGTGTGCCAACATGCACTGTCGTCTTCGAAAGGGAGTGTGCCTCCAGCCTGTCTGACCAAGGAAGCTTTTATTTATCTCCTCTTTTTAGGAGAGGGCTGGTGGTGGAGCTGGTGGTGGTGGTGGTGGAGGGGATGGTGGAGGGGATGGTGGTGACGGTGGTGATGATGGTGGAGGTGGTGGTGGTGGAGGTGATGATGATGGTGGAGGTGGTTGTGGTGGTGACGGTGGTGGAGGTGGTTGTGGTGTGATGGTGGTGGAGGTGGTGGTGAGTGTGGTGTGGGTGTGGGGGGGTCTGGAGCTGGGTAGAGTGAGGACAGAGCAGCTCTTGATCCCTTGGAGCCAGAACAGAAAAAGTGGAGTGACATGTCCAGGTGGGAGCAGAGTCTGGTCCTCCATGTGAGTCTCAGGGACATGCTCCAGAGTACTTCTCAGTTGTGGCCTTTCTAACAGTTGTTCAGAAGTCTCCGAATGAAAAAAAAGCCCCTTGTGTGCATTCTGTTCACATTCAGTCACCTGCTGCCGTGTTGATGGAACCCCGGCAGTGGGAGAATGTGCGGCTGCGGGAGGGAATGGTCTGCGTCACGGTCTCCGTCTCCTCGGAGCGGAGGTCTCCTCCTGCCTCTGATAAGCACCGTTTCTGCAGGAAGTGTCTGCTTAGAGGCAGCCACTTGGGCGGGCTGGGCGGGCTTTAGCATGGGTGCCCGGCCAGGTAGCTGATCACTCCCGTAGTCACCGGGCTTGTTAGGTGAGGTGGGGAGGCACGAGAAACCTCGTAGGTGATTCACCTGGAGGGCCTCCTGGCAGGTTGGTCTCAAAGCTGAGGTGAGCCAGGACTTGCCCGTCAGTTTGGTGGGCAGGACGTGGTTTCCCACAGCACTGCCTGTTTACCCGAAGGCCCTGCCCAGTAGTTGACCACGCACAGGTGGAGGGAAAACAGTTCTCACCGGTTTCCAGAGGGAACCAGAACCTTCACTCTGTCGGAGCAGCGATGACCCTGGAGTCTGGAACTGAAGCTTCCCTGGAAGTTCTCAGGAATCGAAAAGACAGCTGGGTCCGGGGAGGTTTGTGACTTGCCCAGGGCTGCAGAAGGCATCCGGTCTCGGCTCTGCTCACTGTCCAGGGGCGGTTGCTAATCGTGGACCTCTTGGCAGGTTGTCCCCAGCTGGGAGCCTGGTAGCCTGGGGCAGGTGTGGGCTGCCCGCCCCACCAGGCCCCTGCGGGCTGCGCTCCTGGCTTAAGTGGTGCTAAGAGGCAGGCGGGTCTGCAGGGGGTGAGGAGGGTGTGTCATGTGTTCAGGGACAGCTGTGGACGGCACTTCCTCACGTGCTTTGCCCATGTTCAACCCCTACCCCTTGGCAAGCACATGACTGCAGGCATTTGCATCCGACCACCCGTGTGACTGTCAGGTGGAGATTAGATAAGCTGCGGTTGCATTCATGTTTTTCTGAGCAAAGCTGCGTGAAGAAAAAGCAAATCAGAGTAGAAGCAACTTACCCTAGAGGGCGAGGGTGCTCCTGAGGGGAGGACTCCATTCTGGTGTGGGAGAAGTGGGGACGTTAGCAAAGGTGCGCCTTTATACCTTTGTGTCCCTGTCACAAAAGTCAGCAGTGAGCCCGTGTGGGGAGCGTGGAATAGCCAGTCCCTCCAACCCCTGACCTTTGAAGGCCAGGTGGCCGGCACTCGCTGGGGCATCCAGGGGCCCCTGCTGCAGCGTTCTGGCTTCATCTTTCCCAAGTCGACCTTGTGACTGTCTTTCCTGCACCTTTGAAGGACTGCTGGCGGAGCTGTGTCCCGAACACGGGCCTGTCTTTTCAGGTTAATAGGGGGCTTTCTCAGTTCCATCTGCTTGGTAGAAGTTTGCTTCTGAAGCAAGGGCTCTGTCCTCGTCGGTTTTGTAGATGACGACTCTACGTGGCAAACTCTCTAAAATGAGCACAGAGGGCAGACCTCACGGATGATTTTAAAATATGAATCAAAACAGACGATATTTGAGTTACTTGAAGAGAATAGTCTGCATACGTAACCCGCCACCTTCTGTCTGTCCCCCTTCCTGAGTGCTCGCCTCTTCCAAGTGTTTCAGACTCTCAGAAACCATGTTTTTGTCCTTGTTAGAAAGGAAAAAACCCAAACTCTGGTTTTCTGCGCAGCACAGGCGCCGCAGGACGGGAGGCTGTAATGTGGGAAGCCCTGGTGATGCGTGTGTCGGAACCAGTACTCTTAGCGTGGCTGACCCTGCCCTCCCTCTTCCAGAGAGCGGAGGATGTGCCGGTGAAGGCGTCGGCCAAGTGCTGCCAGCGAGGCGGGGGCAGCAGCCTCTCTGCCCACGGTGCCCCCTGGGCGTCCGCGCAGCCGGCCAAGGAGCAGCTCCCAAAGTACCAGGTAACACACCCCTCCCGCCCGGAGTGCCCTGGGGCCGAGGTCAGGTACTGCCAGCTCTCCTCGGGGATGACGGCTGCTGGCGGTTCAGCTCCAGGAATAGGAGATAAAGTGTTCAAACGCCAGTGCTGGGTCCACACGTTGGCTTTTCCCTCTCGGTAGAAGCTACCGCGCACGGGCAGCGGCGATCGGGAACAACGCAGCGCGAATGAGGAAGAAATGTTGCAGCTAGGGTGAACCCTCCTGTTTTGCTTCCTTTGCAGTCAGAACCAAATTAACACATGTGCATTTTCCAGTTTTGTTACACAAACTCTAAGGATACTGGGATGTGTATGCTAAGAAAATAGCGCTTCCCGCTAAAAGGAAGGGAGCCTTCTGTAGGAGCAGACGGAGAGGCCAGACCTACCTTGAGTGTGAAGGAGAGAGGGCTGGTGGCATTTTTCATGCTCTGTGTGTGTGTGTGTGTGTGTGTGTGTGTGCGCGTGTGTGTGTGGGTGTAAGCCAGCAGAGGACAGGAATTAGGGTTCCCGAGGAACACTGACTGACTAGGTCTAAGGGAGGAAGTGTTTCATCAGTGCTGACTGGCAGAAGGATGCTGCTTGATCCAGGATATATCAGGGTTTTTTGGGGGGATGGGGAGGAGCCATGTAGAGTTTTGCCTACTATGTTGTGTAGCTGGAACAGCAAAGCCAGGGAAGTCACCAGGGGCCACAGGTCTACGGCGCTCTGTCAATTTCACGGTCTCGGGACTTGCACCACACGTCAGCCCTCACCCTGCCGGGCTCCTGGTCTCAAAGCAGTTATGTGGTTAAACCAGTACAGGGTGAGACTTTCAGCTCATGGGGAATCACAGTTGGCGTGTGGACCTGGCACCCCAAGAAAAAGCAGGTTACGAAGTGGAGGTGCTGGGCGCAAGTCATGAGTAAAGAATGTGAAAGCCTGTTGGTTGCTGTCTGCGGGGAGTGAGAAGAGGTCGGTGTGCGCTGTAACCAGAGAGGAGCCCCGTTAGATAAGGCTGAGAGATTTGTGCTTCTCTTTCCTCCTCTGCAAACATATATAAGGGGGCGTGTATGTGTGTGTGTGTGTTCGTGTGAATACATGTGTGTGTGTGTGTGTGTGTGTATGCATTTGAGGTTTAAAAAAAGAAGAGCATGTTAATTCAAGAGCGATTGTCATGGTTTTGCTAGAGTAGAAGGAAGAGCAACAGGAGGCGGCCGTTGGCTTCGGTCCGGCTGTGTGGGGTGCACACTCACACCTGTCCTCTTCATTGGTGTGTCACCAGCTCTTAGAGTAGGAGCTGAGGATCCTGTATCTGAGTGATTGAAAAAGAGCATTACGTCCATTGGATACAGGAGAGACGGTTAAGAAAGCCAGCCGGGAGGGCGGAGGCACCACCAGAGCAGTCTGAACACTGGGGAGGGGGTGGGGGGTGGGCAGCGCCGTCCCCCTCACCCCCAATGACAAAAGGGGCACAAAGGACTACTCAGGAGTTAGGGGGTCAAATATTTTAAAAATATTTTTGTGAAATGTCAAGGTCACCAGACCGTGCGTGATCCTTGGGACCCACAAACCCTGCCGGCCCCACCTGGCCTCTTTGTTCGACACTGTTGCTCATTTGGTTGAGTCATGCAGACCGTGCTTCTCTCCAGGCCGTGTTCTTAGCTCCACGAGAAGCGCTCCCCTGTCTTCTTCCGTCATTCCATCTTTCTGTTTAGCGTTTGTAAGCGGGGATAATGAAAATGTTTGTTTCTCAGAGCAAGGTAAAAATGAGCTCAGATTAAACCCTTGGGTCCTGCATGGAGAGGGTGTGTGTAAAGAAGAAACCGTGACCGTTAGTGATACCTGGGGGGAGCAGGCAGTCGCCCCCGGGCCTGAGACACTGAGATGAGTGGGGCTGCCCTGAGCAGCAGCTCTCCTGCCGGCCGCTCTGGAGGTCGCCCTCCACTGCGTTCGCTGCCTGTGACGTGACTCTGGGTTTCTTCCCCGGCGCCCAGTACACCCGGCCGGCATCTGACGTCAGCATGCTGGGGGAGATGATGTTCGGCTCGGTCGCCATGAGCTACCAAGGCCCCACCTTAAAGATACACTACATACGGTGAGTTTGGGCTGCCTCTGCGTGCCGGACGAGGGGTGCTGGGGCGGGCTTCTCCGCTCAGAAATGCACTGCTCCCTCTCCTTCTGTTTCTGTTTTTCCCTCCAGATCCCCTCCACAGCTGATGATCAGTAAAGTGTTCTCTGCTAGAATGGGCAGCTTCTGCGGGAGTACAAACAAGTGAGTGTGGGACCTCGCCCCCCATCTTCCTAAGTGGCTCTTTCTGGGGAGGGCAGTTCTTTGAGACCCCGAGGCTTTCTGAGATGAGAAGCAGGGTGCATCCCCATTCCCTGAGGGGTTTTAAAGCAGCCATCGTCCAAGACACAGTGAGCTCCTATGGAAAGGCCTTGGACCTTACCAGGTGGCCATAAAGACAAGCTACTGTCTAGATGGGAGTATGGGCTACCTGCCATGTTCCTCCTGCCCGTCACCAAGTGCTCGTCTCCTGGAAAATGAAAAGTGAAGGGGGAAGAGAAGGGACCGCAGCGAGGAGTTCATGGGCGCTCCTGATACCACTTTGTCTTTAAAAGAAGCCTTGTCTGTTAGTCTGTTCACCGATTCCTTTCTAAAGGAACAAGGCACAGGGTGAGCCCCCTAGGCCGAGAGGCAGCGGGACGGCAGGCGGGTTGCTGTTCTTGCGTCCGTCTGAGTCATCGTGCAGACTCCGGGGTCGGCTGGGGCTCGGCCAGGCAGTATTCCGATGGTCACTCCCGAGCTTCCCCTCCAGTCTTAATCTCACCCTTCTGTACAGATTAAGAATGCGTGAATGTCTGACTTAACTCTTGCTCTGGGACGTGTGTTCATATATTTTCAATTTTTCAAGCAGAAATATTTCATATACTTCTTAGAACATCGGTTAACTTGGGTCAGGTTGAAAGAAATGTTTGTTATAAATTAAAGGGTGTTCTCAGGGGTCAGATGAAGGCTGTTATTTTTCACAATCCTGGGAAATTAAGAGTATATTCCTCTGCAAATATCTGGGTACCATTCAGTAAGTCAGCTTACTCTTCAACAAAATAACGAATTTACTTGTTTGAGCATTTAACGTTGGATTGTCCTGACTTAAGCCAGGTTATGCATTGATGTTCATTTCTTGTGAGATATTCTCTTTCGACCCTTGATATAACCTGAGCATTTATTACACTAACTCCCTCTGATGAAATACCGAGCTCAGGTTAAAGTAAAAATGATTTTGGCCTCATTATGCTCTATTATCCTCGAAATCTTTATCTGTTCTGAACTACAATGAATTATTGAAATCTGCTCCTCTCATGTGTGTGTTTATGAGTCATTCTAACTTTTTAGAAGTTGTGAAATCAAACTCCGATAGGGAGCAAAATTTCTGTTATATCCTCCTTCTGAAAAAAAGTGGCTGAATTGCTCAGAGATGTTAACAAGGAGTTAAAATGGATCGCATTTTGAGAGTTTATGTAGACTTGCCCTTGAAATGAGAGGCAGTGTCCTAGGTGTCAGTCACTAAAGCAAGGCTTGCAGAGTTTGCTGTCCCCCATCAGATGACGTGGAATTGTCTGGAACGTGTCGTTTAGTTTTCCAGGTTGAACCACCTCCGAAGAACCTGTCTTGTCTTTTCCTCCAACAAATTCCCCCGAAGCTTAATCCCCTTTGGCAGATGTGAGACTTTATTAACTTACTGAGGAAAGTCTGACCAGCAGATAGGATGTCTGTATCTGACAGTCCTCATGTTTTTCTCCCCTTGACCTTCCGTCCCTCTCTGGATTTAGCTTGCAAGACAGCTTTGAATACATCAACCAAGATCCCAACTTGGGGAAACTGAACACAAATCAGAACAATCTGGGTCCCTGTCGTCCCGGAAGCAACCTAGGTAAAATCCGCCGTGTGGCTGGGCTCTTTCTTTCTGGGAACCACTCTCGTGGGCGTGCGTTCGCTTTCTGTGAGTCTGTGGTGGTGGTGTTCTCTGTGTATTTATTTTGCCCCATCTTTAATCCGTGTTTCTCTGTGTGTGTGTGTGCTGTGTCCGCCCTCCCGTGTGTCTCCACCTCCAGGGCCACTGCAGTCCTGGGGCAGCAGACAGCTGCAGGGGGGCGCTGAAGGAGGACCTCTCCGGCTCACCCGCAGCGCCTCTTTCTTTGCAGGTTTGTGTGGAATGCTGAGCCCAGGGGAACCCCCCCCCATGCACAGCAATACATCCTGGGCAGGTTCTTAGAAAACAAAATCCTATTTGGTGCCTCTCAAGAAATCCAAGGGGCTCTTGAGATGTCCGTTCCAAACGTTGCCAAGTTCCTGGTGTTTTGAAAATTCCACCAGTGAACCTCTCTCATCCACGGCTCTGCTAACAGCCCAGCGTGAGCTAATTGTGATCTAAAACGAGCCCTTCGTGTTTCTAAGAGGACAACATTCTGTGATTTTCCTCCACCTTTTCTGCTGCTGTGAACCGTTTCTCTTGGCCGTGGTGTCTCTGGTCCATTTCTTTACCCGCACCCTTTCCTGCACAGAATGTCTTCAAAATCACTCTAATAAGAGCATGGATGACCCCCCCCCCACTCCGTCATCTCTCTCTCACCTGCTAGCATTTAAGTAGTTGAAATGCACTTTCCAGCTTCTTGACAGATGTAACCACCTCAAGGTGTCTCTGGGCTGCATCTGTTCTGAGATGGCCCGGCCTCCCAGCTAAAGCTGTCACGCGTCTGCCGCGCTCTGGCGAGCTTAACACATGTGGGAACCTTCGTTACTGACACTCAAAGTGGTTGGTGGCAAGTGGCGTTCTACGCTGTTTGCCTCAGTAGCCTGAAAACCTGCGTGGCTAACGGGCACCCTCCCACCTACTTCAGCACGAGGATGGCATGTGTGCATGCTCTCCTGCAAACTGGGAAAATAAACGTGCTTCACAAAGTAGCCGCAGGTGCCGCAGGCAGGCAGTGGGTGGGTTCCTTGGGCGCGGAAGCCTCCCCATAGCAACACATCACCCCCCTGGAGTCTACTTCAAAGTGAGTGGAAGTGTTTTCTGTCTGCCAAGACAGTGGGTTAGAAACAGAGGAGCCCCTTTTATGTTAATGAGATGGTTTCCAAGCCCGTCTCCTCCCCAGCCACTGCTAAGACCAGCTCCAAAGCAGTTTGGGAATGCAGCGCTATTTAAATGCTAACAACGAGGAGGACGGCTGGAACCACCTGCCTGAGCACGCTTGTCCGCGGCACCCACTGCACGCGCAGCTCACTGTTCCGTTTCTCCGAGAGACAAGTGTCCCTCAGAGAGGCTTCTCTGCTGCAGTGGGGCAGGGACAGGCCGGTGGGGACTTGATTCTGTTTCCCGCCTCCTCTCACCGAAGTCCGTAATGGCCTGAACTTTGCTCTCTGGCGCATCTCTCTGTAAACCCCAGCCAGTCATCGTCACCCGCCCTGAGACGCAAAAGTCACAGCAGATTTTAGACGGCTGGCTCTTCGGAGAGCCCTGTAACGTGGCTTCCTTTGCCTTTTCCTCAGCGCACAGCACTCCCGTGGACATGCCGAGCAGAGGACAGAATGAGGACAGGGACAGCGGCATTGCCCGATCAGGTATGCCTTTCCTCCTCTTGGGGTGCCTGCCCGCCAGGACCATCCCAGGGCCCCTCGTGTTGAAGCTCCGGGACTGACGCTCAGCGTGCGGTGCACGTGGGCTGGTTTCTCCTGACGCCCACACCCCTGGGAGACTCCTGTGCTTGGGGAAGTTCCTTTTTAGCGGGAAACCTCCTGGAGCCAGTCATTCTGGGAACTTGCTTGCTGAGCACTGAGCGCGGAATCGGGGGAAGGACCGGGTCTGTGGGAGTAAGTCTGTCCACCACCGTGAGTGGGGCTGCCAGCTGACCTGTCACCCTTCCTTCTGTCCTGGCGCCACGCTGGCCTGGGTCTCATCCCCAGGACCCCCTCCCTCCTGGCGTCAAGCCTTAAACTTTCCTAGTGCTGCTTTTAGGATCTGTGGGTTTCTGCTTTTGCCCACGATTCTGCTGTTGGTTTTTGATTTGTGGTTCAGATCCGAGGTAGCGTCCATGCTGCTGAAAGAAGGGTGGTGAGCGAATGATCTGAAATTCGGGGGTTCGGGGGCATGTGGGCTGAGTGCCTGCAGACTCGGGGCACCTGCCTGTCTGTCCAGTGACATGGGCCACCTGCCTGCAGGGGTCCGGGCTCGGTGCCTTCGCTCACTGGCTTCCCGCTCGTGCCTCAGGTGCTCTTGGAGGAGCCCTGGGTCCCGTGCGCCTGGTCCCTGCACCCGCTCAGCGCAGCCCTGCCCCGAGTTACAGACGAAAGGGAGTTTGCTACTGAGTCAGCCTGTTTGGTTTGTCTGTGTCACAGAGTGGAAGGGATGCAGCGTTTTATTAATGGTTAAATGACATGACACTAGTCGATTCATTTTGGTCTTCCTAATCCTTTTGCGTATCAAGTTGGGTGGTGACCTGTTGGGCGGAAGTGTAGTTAATTCCTGTTGATTAGACCTCTGTCATTTTCATTTGTAGCAATTTTTGTACAGACATAAAATCTGAGAAAGTGAGGAGCTTACGAGGTGCCCAGAGAACTGTTTTACTTTGTGTGTGTGTGTGATGGTACTCGGGGAAACTTCGTCACGGGGCCCGGTCAGCATCCCCTCCGCAGGTGTGTCCGACGTCTCTGAGTTACATCCGTCCGTCAGTTACTCAGGGCTGTGAGTGTGTGTTGAAGGTCTTAGTGTCCAGAGCCCGGCTCCTCCTCCTCTTCCTCCTCCTCTTCCTCCTCCTCCTCCTCCTCCTCCCAGGGCTGGCCTGGGGCGGGCTTTGTTCTGGCTGAATTTCCAGGGAAGAAGATGTGGGCACCACCGTGGAACCACGATCACTCTCAGTCAGAACTGCTGCCCGAGTGGCTCACAGAATTTAGTATGTCGGGCTTGGTGTGGTGCGTGCTCTTTACATCTCTGCGAAAGAAAGAAAGAGAGGAGGACAACTGTCCACCGTTTACCGGGGGCCCATTCTGACCCTGATCCGCAGGGTTCCTGCAGGAATCTCCCTGTGTTTATGTGTGTTATGCCCCTTCTTGTTCCAGAAGAGATCAAAGAGGCACCGAGGGAGCTGGTCCAGCAGACACGTGGGCGGCTTAGGAGGTTCCCAGGTCACGTCTCGGTTTATGCCATGATTGATGTAAAGTGTTCGTGTTGTGCACGTCAGAATCCCGTTGGTTTGGTACCGTTCAGATTGTCAGTTGCTCCTGAAACTAGCTTTCCTTGCCGTCTGGGAAGCAGGAGCGTTGAGGGGCGAAGTCTGAATTGGAGGGAGAGGTCTGTCACAGCCGGGTCTCAGTTTTCCCGTGATGCAGGCGCGAACCCTGGCCTCTCTGGCGGCGTGGCCCCTGGCCCAGGAGTCGCTCCTTCCAGGCTCCAGCTCTCCTGCTGGAGGAAGGGCGGGCGTGGGGCTGCAGGTGGTCTCCCTTCTCTTGGACGATGTGCTCACCTTTCCTCGTGGGAGCTGCTCTTAGATTGGGGTGAGGGTCACCCTGGGGAAGGGTAGCCCTCTGCTAAGTCCTCCTGTGTCCCCACTGTGATTTGGTCTCCAGGTCTCTCCTGGTGACATCACCTGCATTGTGTGGGGACCAAGGTCCGAGTCCTGGAGCAGAACAGGGACTCCCAGTGTTTGACTGAATTGGCAGCAGTAGGAGATGTAGAGAAATTAAAGATGTTGATGATGATTTCTTTCTCCTGTAGTTTTTAACCTCCTATCTGAAGAGTTGAGAGATGGGGGGAATATTTTTAGACAGGTTTTGTTTTTCAGAGCAGTTTTTAAAAAATTTTTATTTAAAAAAATTTTTTTAATTGAAGTAGTTTCTGGTGTATAGCACAATGCCCCAGTCATGCATATACACACATAGATTCCTTTTCATATTCTTTTTCATTAAAGGTTGTTACAAGATATTGAATATATTTTCCTTCTAATATACAGAAGAAATTTGTTTTTTGAATCTATTTTTATATATAGTGGTCAACATTTGCAAATCTGAAACTCCCAAGCTCATCCCTTCTCACTCCCTTTCCCTGTTCAGAGCAGTTTTAGATTTGCAGGAAAACCGGGATGGGAGCACAGGGGTTCCCAGCCTGCCCCGTCACTAACGTCTTACGCAGTGCAGTGCACTCGTCCTAGTGACTGAACCCAGATCGACATGTTATTATTCTCTGAAGCCCACAGTCTATTTCCACGTCCTTGGTTCTTACCCAGGGTCATTTTCCTGTTCCAGGACCAGGTCCTCTTTGCTGTCACCGCCTGTAGTTCCCTCTCGGCTGGGGTGTTTCTCAGACTTCTTTGTCGTGACGACTCTCACAGCTTTGAGAAGTAGTGGGCGGGTGTTGTGCGGAATGCCGGCTGCCAGGATGTGTTTGGTGTTTTCGGCGTGGCTAGACGGGGGTGATGGGTGTCTGGAAGAAGGGTCACAGAGGTGAAGTGCCACACTCATCACATCGCATGAGGGCGCATGCGGTCAGCCTACCTCGTGACCATGACGTTGGCCTTGGGCACCTGGTGGAGTCCAGTGTGTCCAGCTTCTCCCCATCACCTACCTCGCCCCCCTCATGGCAACTCAGGAAGCAGGTCACCATGTAGCCCACACCTACAGCTGGAGACTGTGCCTGCTCCTGGGGGCAGAGCCCTCATCCGCTGTGCCTCCCTCATCCATCCACCCACCCACCCACCTTTCTGTATCAATGTGGACTCAGATATTTATTTTTCAAATGGGTCATCACAATACCACCTTATTTTGTTGCTGTAAGTTCTCCAGCTTTGGGTATGGAAGCCATGGCTCCTGTGTTTCTTTAACATAGCACTCCCGTGTGTGTGTGTGTGTGTAGCACTTCTGACCTTCTGGCCAGACTGGATGCTCCAGATCTGCCTTGTATATTTTCTACCCAAGTCCCGGAGTCAGTCTTGTCTCCATGGAGTCCTGGCTGTCACTAGAGGATAGAATTAGATTCCGAGGTCAGGACACAAGGTGTGCTTGCTGCCACTGGAGTGTCATCTATTACAAGCCCGCTTAAGACGTTAAGCCACATGAGTTTATTGAGTAACATTACTACCACTTCCTCT